TTAAAATACCTAGAGAAAATTCTAAGAAAAAAAAATCAATTGATATTTCAAAATCAACAATAATTAAAAATATTCTAAAAAATAATTTATGCATCATTACTAGATTAAAATGTTGAATATTTATTTGTAATTTGTATTAAATTAATAAAAATATCTTTTGATTACCTTTTGATTTTTATATTGCCTTATCAAAGATCCAACTAGCTAGTATTTGCTTATGTGACTTATGTCTTCGTTATACAAGCTATACACCTTACTAAATATATTTTCTTGGTAGTCTTAGGTCTCTTAATTGTTACCATGTCTAATTTTTTATTTTTTATTTTTTTTCTTAATGTTGATTCTTCTAAAACCAATTCACCTATCTTAATATGATTATCTATGTAATTTTCTTTCTTAAATAATTTATTAAAATAGATTTGGATATTTTTCTTTTAATATATATATATATATATATATATATAATTTATTATGAATATATACAAAGAGATGCCTTCTTTTTATTTAGGATTTTTAATCTATTGAATTAGAAGAATTCTAAATGAACTTGATGTATTAACTTGTATAAGTTTATTTGTTAAGTTGTAGATTAGAATTTGAGATTCTTCAAGATTTTTTCTTTTTTCTTTTTTAAATAGTATTTGCTTGTTTGATTTATGTGTTACTTTGGTAACTTACAACTTGCATGATACCTTCATAGTGATTAGATTGTAAAGCTTTGTTGCTTGTTTATTTGCTCTATATTTGCATTGTATAATATGTATGTCTTGTATCTATTTGCAACATTATATTTCCTTAACTTTTTTTTATGTTATTATTGCCTTTGGATGTTATTATATTAATAATATAATTTTATTGTACAATACTTCTTCTAAGCCTTGAATCTACAAAGTTTTTAGCATTCTCTATCATTTTGGCAATACATGTATTTAGATTTAATGGTGAATATATATATATATATATATATATATTTATTTATTTATGAGCCAAAAAAAATGAAAGGTTTTTGGAGGGTGGTACATAAACAAAATAAGAGATAACAACTTGTTTTTGAAGGCTTTGAGTTTTGGCAGTTTTGTGGAAGTTTTCAGCTTCTGTCCATGGTGTTCATTGTTGTATTTTTGGCTGCCTAGGATCTCCCTTGTGCAAGAATATTGTCCCATACCCATACATGACACCATCAAAATAATTAAAAAAAGTCGTTTATCTATTTTTCCTCTTTTTCTTTTTATTTAAAAACAAGTTGTTTACACACATTGTTTGTACTGATTAACTAACATTTATACATTAAACAAAAATCAATAATCATACCCAAATCATTAAGCTATAAAAGACTAACATGGTCAAAAAATAACACCATACATTGTGGACCTCCAATTGCAAAACCAAAAATTAGCTATGTAGAGATTTGGATTAGGGTTTCGCTCTCTCACCTCCTCTTCCTCCAGGGAGTACTTAGAAGGGCCCCTTTCACACTTGCAAAAAGCCCAACACCTTAACATCCAACATGATAGCTCTGCCTCACCTGATGCCCTCACTCCTTCCCCTTTAAAGATAGGGCCACCCAAAGTCAGGAGGAGGACAGTGTTATTCCATCAAAGCTCATTAGCTTCTGCTCCCTTGAGGTGGCTGATTTCCTTAGATAGCAATCAGATCTAACTGAACCTAAAAATATAAGGGCATCGAGCATCCTGAATGACAATATTGATGCCACATTAGGGCAAGACAAAATGGAGAAGACAAAACAGGGGAGGATGGGAACATGACACATTGGGTCATGTCTTGATTGTTCAGTGTGTGGATGACTTGAATGTTGGAATTAGTGTTTGAATGGAGTGTGTGTTGTTGTGTTTTGTTTCATTTTGTTTTGAAATACAGACATTGAACTTCAGAATAGACATGTATAATGGCTGTACTATACTTATGTGTTGTTTGGGTTGTCTTGGAAGTTTTGAAATCATGCAATCACATAATGCCTGGGACTGACAATATGAAGATCTGTGGAAAACTGATGGGTGTACTTTAATAAGATTAAAACATCCCAATTTTGAAAAATAAAAATAAAAGAAGAAATAATGCACTCAAATACACATGTACTCATACATGCACACAAGCACACACGCACACACACACACACACACATATATATATAAATATATATAAATATAAATAAATAAATATATATATAATGTGAATTTTAAACGAATTTTAAATTTAAAATCATTTTGCCAATACTTTTTCTCAATTCATACCATGGATATTTGAACCTACTGTATTTTATTTTTATTTTTGACTGTGAGAGTCCGAATGCATACACAATTACTCACATACGTACATGCAGAGGTATAAACAATTGATATCTCTGTTTCCGAACCGGCTCCTCATTTCTGGTCATCTGGGACGTAATCTAGATTGACACCTGGGACGTCGTTGACCCTTTACCCCAGGGCTTGCGGAGTGGCGGATTGGCACCTGGGAGGTAGCGAGGGCCCATTTCGCCCATGAACATGACACCGGCTCCTTTGGGAGGCGGGGTTGACTTCGACGAACCCTTGGATGTGACGTTCTGACTTCTCACATCCTCTCTTCGAACTCTGAACGATAGCGATGCTTCATGCATTACGAGGATGACAAATACGCGCATTTTCATCGCCATTTTGGACGAATGTGGATGATATACCGACCTGACTTTCGTTCCCATGTGGGTCCCATACCAAGACACCACAGCCTGGTTTGAGGTCTCAATTGGATCCACTGCATTTGGAACAAGCTTTCTTCTATGGACAAATCGCCACAAATCTATACTTTGTTCTAAATTTATGTGCTTTAAATGTTTACTTTTTATGTTGTGTTGTGAATAAAACATGTATTTTTCATGAAACCATAAACTGATACAATTACAGTTAATTGTTTCATATGTTTAACCCTTTTTGTTTGTTGATTTTTATATATTTTCAAATTTCCACATACACACACACATATATATATATATATATATATATGAATGAGTAGATCTTTGTACGCAAGATCATTTTAATAATCTACATTATTACATCTAATATATTTGAATGAATGAAAGGTTTTTTTCCTCTTTTTTATAATTAATTTATGCAATTATTTAAAGTTAAATAACATAAAAAGAAAAATATTATTTTATGTACTTTGATTTGTTTTAGATAATATACATGAATTTTTACAAATATTCATATGCATATAATTGAAAATATATATTTAGAACAAGGGTATAAAATACTTTGGAAATCACATGTTCAATTTACTTAAGTATTAAAAACAAATACATGCTAAAAGACAAGTAATTGGAAGTATGCATTTAACAACCAAAAATAAATTGTATATTCAATTACATATAAAATAAAATTTTAGACAATGACATTTTTACAACATGTGTACTTTTGTTTCTATATGTGTAATTTTTTATATTTATAAATATCTCTAAAATTGGGATTACATAAATAAATAAAATTAAATTTGGTTCCTTAGTTATTAATATACTGTTAAAGTTCTGTTTTATAACATACTATTTAAACATATTTTAGACAACTGTGGTGGAATAAATTATAAATTATTTTATGGTAATTTATCAATCAAACATTCTCTTGAGTTTTAGTTTCAAAATAAGAATTAGGTAGAATTAAGATTTGTTTATTTGTTTGTTTTTTAAAAGTTGAATCTTTCTAAAAGATAAAGTTGAATCTTTCTAAAACTTACTTAAAATCCATGTTGTTGAAATACAAAGTATTTATGAATATCTTTAGCCTTTGATATTTTTCCAATAAACCTTTAGTCACTCAAAAGTTGATAATAATATTATTTCGTCATTATATTCTTAGAAAATATGATGTTAACTTTAAATCACAGTATCTTTGTAAAATTTTATTATTTTATTTCGAAATGAAACTATGTAGAATAATAACAATAATAATAATAATAATAAACTGCACATTAATTTTTTCCATTTCATTATAATTTTATAGATACTAATTATGAAAAAAATTAAAACTTCAATTACTGGGAGTGATAAAGTCAAAAACATGTCTAACATCGAATTTTGTTTGTTTGTAATTTTTTTTTAATACACATTACCATTTTTTTATTTGCTTGTAATTTTTTTTTTTTTACTTTTTTCCAAGCTGTGATTATGGTTTTTTTTTCCTTGAGTCTTTATTAATTAATTAATTTTATGTTAATTTTGATTAATATATTTATTTATAATTCTGTTTAAGGTAATGTTATTGTAGGATTTTTTCGCTGAGTTTTAGAACTTTTGTGATTTTTATTCAGTGAAGCACAGCCTCGATCTTTAATCCAATTATCATTATCATTCCAGTAAACAAAACTCCATCTTTTTTTTATTAGTTAATACATTTTAGTGTATATTCTTCTGTATTTTCTCAATTCCATCCACTCTACTTACTGATTCTCTTCAAATTCAACAATAATCTTTCAAAACTGGCTTTAAACTCGTTGAACAAGGAAACCAAACTTTTACCGAACTTTGTCCAACAAGAATGTTCAACACTACCATCTTTGCTCGATCTCAGGCAGCAAATCATTCAACCCAAAATAACCCAGCAATCAAAATCATCTCCCATGCAGGAAAAGCATTATGAATGGATACCAAAGGGAAGCCCAGGAAATGAATCCAACGTGGCAATGGAAGGAACGAAACAAACAAGCAACGGAAAGAAAATGGCCGAACAGATGAAGAAGAGAGGAACTACCATCGTTTTATTTAGTCCAACACTGCACAGAGTGTGAACAGAGAGACATGGAGCGAATTGTATTTTTTTTTTAATGCTGTGGGCAGCCCGTGCGTCTGCCTAGCAGAAACAAACAGGGCGTTCAGGGGATAGGGACGGGGCGGGCAGGTGGGGGGGATGCCGCTCCGACCAACTCATGGCGCCACCAGGGCCTGCAATGATAACGAGGAGGGGAAAAACACAGAAGAATTAAAAAAACAATGACGAGCACGATGATGAGATGAACGTCGTTTGCTTGTTTTGCTTGCTTGCCGTCGTTCGAAACTACTACTACTACAACTACTGCTACTATGGCAGCTTCTTTCTACTACTACCATTACTACAAACTAGTACTCCCCCCTCACTGGGGGTACCACACCGCTGCTGCTGCCTATGTAAACAATGAAGTCCCCTCGAGCATTACCAAGCCAGCGCTGGGCACGACTCGTTGTTCTACAGCATGCTTGCTTGCCTGTGAGTGAGTGAGATTGCGCTGCGGCTTGTGGCCATGGCGCGCCTGCTCTGCTTTCTCCGGCTTCTAAAACCGCCTGAGATTCTGTGCTAGCGGAAGCCGTAGCTGGCGAATTGGGTCAGGCGTTTCACGACAACTTGTGTGAGGGATCCGTGATGGCTTTTAGAGGTGGTCGTGGAGGCAAAATTTTTAAGACGAGGGAGAGAGAAGCGGGACTTCGTAACGGTTTTGTGTGTTGGGTAATGTAACGGTCTGCGAGTGTGTATGAGGTTGGGTGGGGAGAGGAGAGGGGGCGGGGAGTTGGGTTTGGTTTTCAGTTTCCGGGGTGTGAGTAAGAGGGTTTTAGATTAGGAGTTTTTGACGGGAAGAGAATGTTTAGTGTAGGGAGGAGGGAGGACAAGATGACGAAGAGCGTGATGAAGTATCAGATGAGGCATACCGGGGTGGGGCGGGGAGCGGGACCTGGAGCGGGCCTGGAGAGGGAGTTCCAGCACCATCAGCACCAGTACCACCACCCACATCATTACCACCCTCGTCACCACCACCGCGTTGGCGACGGAGGGGCCGCTTTTGAGAGCGGGTATACGACCTACAAGGTCACTCCCCAGGTGATGCAGGTGTCCGGAGTAGTGCAGAAGAGTAAGACCGTGGAAGAGTTGGAACTAGTGAAAACCAAAGGGGTGTCTCAGGCAGGGGCGATTACTCGGGGCGCCGAGTCGCCGCCGTGGACCATGTTACCGAAAGATCTAATAGAGAAAGTGTTTGCATTTTTGCCCTTGCACAGCTTGTTCCAAGCGCGATGCGTTTGCAAGTGCTGGAAGAGCGTAGGCATCTCGAACAATCTTGTTAAGTTGTGGGCAGAGGCGCCTGCGTCACCCCCGTACTTCCCCGTGTTTTTGTCTAAGTCCGAGGACCGGCGATGGTGCGGTTATGATCACGTGCAGCAGAAGTGGCTGCATCTCCCCCCGCTCACATTCCTCCCGAAAGAAGCGAAGCATATTCTGGCGGGCGATTGCGGGCTTCTTTGCCTGAGCGAATCACCATCCACGGCATTAAACTATGTATGCAATCCCGTTACCCGGAGCTTCAAAAAAGTGCCATCGCTATCCCAGGACTATGAGCCTGGTATTACGCATATGGTGGTGGATGGGCAGAGCCAGGGTTTCAAGATGATTGTGACACTCACCCATTATCTGGAAAGTACACATGTATTTGAATCGCGGCACAATTCGTGGCAGGCCACGAGCTGCTTGCCCCCGCACTTCCTGCTTTGGGGTAGGCGGAGCTCTGCGTTTTGTAATGGCTTTCTTTATTGCGTGGCGCTGGAAGTTGGTGGCATGAATATGGAAGGGCTGATTGCGTATGATGTCCATTCTGGCGTTTGGACCGATGTACATGAGCTTCCCAGGGGGATGAGGGACGATCCGTATGTGCTTTCATGCGGCGGTCGTGTGCTTGTAGTTGCCGCTCAGAAGAACACCAATGGTCGGCTCACGAGCATTCGAATTGTGGAATTTGAGCCTGTTTCCAGACGGTTTCTCGAGGTCACTGAGATGCCTCAGAATGTGATGCTGGACGTTTTCAAATGCAGGGGCGGATGGAAGCCCGTGGCGTTTGGCGACAGGATCTGTGTGGCATCGAAGAAGACCCTCTCCGTTGCAGTTTATGATATGGTGCGCAGATCGTGGCATGAGTTGCCCAAATGCCCCCTCAATACCAAGGTGGATGTGGCTACATTCTGCTACGGACCTAGCTTACAGTTTTTTCAATGAGGATCTACTTCCTCGTTTTTTTCTTCTCTTTACTCCTTTCCTATCTTGTAATTAAAAGCCCCCGGACTGTAACTCCAATTCTTTCTCGTTTCCGCTCTGGCCAGTATTCCTCTTGCATGCGCTGTCACTCAGCTTCTCAATGTTGCTTTACCCTCTGACATGCGCGCAATTGGATCTCTGTAAATTCCAGACCCCAGGTTTGTAGTCTTTGCTTGCCATCATACTATATCAAATTGCGTATCTGGTTATTTTGTGTACTGATTATTTGAGTCCTGTTGGTAAAGGCGCATCTCTACTTATTTTAGAAATTGAAAATGGCATTACTTGCTACTCTTGCTCCCTGTTTGGATAATAATAGTAAGCGCGCGACTCTGCGATGCCATCCCGATCACCTGTTTTGAGTACCGTGTTCCCAACCCTTATCACATGCAGTTGTAATCTTGTAGTCTTTACATCTCCCACGCCATCGACCTACAAAAGGGGTAGTTTAGGGTTGAGATAATTAGCAGATAAATGGAGCTGATCAGCTGGGAATCGCTTGTAGCATTTCGCTCGTTCGAGGTTGCATCTTCATTCATATCACTGACAGCGACCTGACAGCGAGGTCCGAGAACTAGACCGCAACTACATCCAATCGATCTGACAAAAACAATTCACGGTTTGTATTACTCAGTCGCCACTTACACCCTCCTTTATTTTAGCAGGTTGTGTGTATACATAAATGTTTACATAAATATATAAAAGAGACAATGCCACCGATTCCCGAGGACGCTAGTGTCATGATCGTTCAGCGGTTGGTTTCGAGCACGTTTTTTCATGCAGCATCTGATCGGTTTAAATACGTTTTTGTTCACTCCGCTGAGCAGTTCTTCAAACTTCCAAATTCTAAAACCCCAGGTTTATTTTCAATTCAAAACAACTTTCTTTTCCTTGGCTTCAGACACGAGAGCAACATAGTAGTTCAGTTATTCCATTGATTCACTTCTGCCTTTCCAGCTGTGTTGAGCGCCGCAGTCCGAGTTTGACTTCGGTGTTGTCAATGAACCATACCTTGCCCCGAGTTTCTCGAACTGTCTCTCACAACCTGGTCCAAAAAACTCCACTTTCAGAATCTGATGTGACTATTTTGCCCTCAGCTATGAGCCATTCTGTGCACACATTCTACTTGTAAATAGTGGTGAAAATGGAGACGACAAGTTGCAGTCCAACTATAATCATAGTCATAGTACCTCCAGAAAAGCTCACTCTGGGGCCCTACCTCTGGATAAGGTATATATGAGATCTGACCTCCAACCCATTTAGTACATCCAGTTAGGGTTTTTTTTGTTTTGTTTCCATGTATTTTGCTTTTCTTCTTCCAGTGGTTGTGAGCAAGGCTATCACAGGACAGTTTCAGCTAGTGCCCACACAGCTAAAGCCACCCACTTGCAGTTTAGGTTCCTGCTATCCATGCAACCTGTAAAAGCATGTGGCTTGATGTGGGGCTACTTGTGCTGAGTTTGTTCTACAATTTGATCTGATTATGGGAGATATCTTACTGTGAGAACCTTTTGGAAGGAACCAGGATTTGGCCTACTGTTGAAGAATCCAGGCAAAACTTATAAAAGTGCAGTGTGTATAGGTTTAAAGTAATCATGAATTACTTGGAGAACAAGTAATTCATGATTTCTACTCCTTCCTCTTAAGCTGTGTGAGCTGACCACTTCCATGGGGACCACCTTCCATTGAACCAGTTGCAATGCTTGTAGAAGTTTGAAATATCAATCTGATTCTTATTGCCAACAACCTTAAAATTAACAGAAGAGGTTTACTTGGGTTTTGATTCTGCAAACAGTGAGTCAATATTTTTGGGTATTTTGAAAGTTTTCCGAGTCTTGTAAATTACTCTCTATTTCAAAACATCAACTTGTAGATTATATATATATATATATATATATATTTGTTAGTAATAATGGATGAAACACTAAATGAATCTGGACATTGAAAGGTGGTTTCTGTTGCCTGCCCCCATGTCTTTCCTGACAGCTTTTTATTGTTTGAAGTTAGTGGCTTGTAGAACAAGTGGTTGTATTCCTTAGTGACAAGAGGAAATATGGGGACTCAACAACTTTTCTCTTCAGGCTACATGCTCCCCCATTCTGGAGGTTGCCTGAAGAAGAGGTTTCTGCCATTCAAGAGTTTGATGGCAACTTAATGGAGGGGACTTTAAATAAGTTAATGAACTAGTTGGTTGCTGTCTGGGGGACAAGCAGCCATCTTAACATCAATAGTTAAATTTGTAGCATTGTCCAAATTAGGGGAATGATCCACTATTAGTGGGGCATTACAGAGAGGTTTTCATCAGCACTCTTCAACAATAAATGAGGGGTACTGAATGGATGAGAGTGGGTTGATTTAACAAACTTTTTCCTCCACATATATAGAATGTGTCCACCACCTAAAGTTCACTAAGAAAGAACATGAGTTACCAAAGTCTCAACACCCTATTGTCCAGGCAGACTTTGGACAAGTTTGGGGTATGATATTATCTTCCTCTTGTTTGGCCTATGACATTTATGGAAGTAGTTGCATCATATTCCAAAATTTGATAGTTGATTCTTTGATGCAACCTCCTACAATCTTATACAGAATGTCCACATGATATGCTCTATTCTTTCTTATACTGATGTCCTCTAACATCAATTCATGACAACTTTTCTAAAACTATTTGCAATTGTAGGTTTTTCAAGCTAGTTTTTGTGTTCTTCTACTTATAGCTCATTTCCCATTGAGAATACATATTTAACTTCATGACATACATATATTCCCTTCATTTGTACATGGATCATAGTGTTGGTTTTACTTATTTGTAGAAAATGATGAATCCAAAATTCACATGAAAGTGACATTGTTCAGCTTCATACATTTAGAATAAGGCCAGCATCACATGATACTTATTTTATTTTCTACATTGTATAGTTCCCACAAGAAAGTTTTTTAATTTTAATCTTTTCCCCTTACACATGTCATGTGGCCACAGACTGTTGCTTTTGACCTTGTCGGCAAGGCCTTGCATTGATGTCAGAGCCCCAAGTCCCCCCCCCCCAATCCCATCCCACTCTCAGCAAGACCCATGTGTCCACCTAGACTTCAGTGAACAAAATCCAGCTGGACTATTTTTAAAGTTACCAAAGTGGATCTGAATGGAGATAGAAGAGGGGGGGTCTGGATGGAACCCATACCCCCTTGGGAAGAACTTGAGACTGAGGAAGGGGTCTCTGTTCCCATCCTGCCTCTCCACATCTCACTGGATATGGCCATCAAAATGCTTCAAATGATACCCTTCTCCCACATTCTAGATTCCTGACTGTATCCTCACACCCTACTTGATCTCGATCTCTCTCTTGCTACTTTTCAGAAGTGGGCTTTTTCGTGGGTATGGTGAACTTTTTTCAATAAGGAATTGTTGTCCACAAGAGTGGCATGTATTTCCATATATAGATGTATAGATGTGCATTGTGATATGCTGTGGGTTATATCCCTTCATCCTTTTCTGTGGATGGAGGGCTCCTGTAAGGACCAGAAATTTGTATTGGCAGGTGTTGTGTGATGACTTTATTGTTATTGTTAGCAAGTTTGGGATGGCTTGACAGATAAGCTTGTGATCAGAATGGATACTAATTGTGAATTGGTACATTATTGGACATTTCCAATATTTATGTATGCAAAATTTTGTTGCTTTAAGAACATAAAGTGGGCAAGCATTGTAAGTGTTGTTGTTGTTGTTGTTGTTGTTGTTATATATATATATATATATATTTGTCTCCATGCATTTATTGCTCCAGTCACAACACCTAATTGTGTGAATGGATCTATGTAATGGCTACAAGTTTAGTAATGGACAGCATAACACCAACCATACCCATAACACTTAATACAGATTTCAAATGTTTTCACAAACTACCTCAACTCTTTGATGTTTTAATCTTTGTGATATTTTTGAACATACACATACACAGTAATTTGCAAATTTGTCACTGTGTTGTGAAATTATTCAGCATATTCCAATTGGTTGCTCCAACAAAGATGTGAAACATGAATCCTTAAAATCTGAGAGTAAAAAGTTGTGACTTATGTTTTATAGTCCATTCTTGAGAAAGGGTTGTTCACAAGCATAGTTCCCACATTGGAAGAGGGCATGATCATCAACAGTACTGCTGCCACCTATTTTCCTTGCAACCAGTGCTGAATCACTACAAAATCTAACACTGTAAACTTCACTGAACTACCTTCTGACAAGGAAGGAGCTAAGAAACTTAAATGGACCAACTCCATTCACCATTCATCCACCCACAGCTCCATCTCATACCAAAGTACGCCTCATGGCAAATTGAACTCCACTGGGAATGTTTGAAGGGCACAGCTCCCGAACTCAGCAAAGTTGAAAAGTGCCTGCATGTCCGGGCATCCAGAGGGGAGTTTCTCTTCACACTGGAGCCCATTTCTGCTGTTGAAGCTGAGGTGGCACTTTCATGCATGACTTCCATTTGTGACGTCGTGGATTCCACCTGGCAGCCACGTGGTCAATGTGGACCACGTGGAGTTACCATGCACGGCGGCCTTGTTCCCAGTCAAGTGAGAGCATTCATGGGTCTACCACCTCCACCAAAACGCTGCCCCCCTCCCCTTTTCCGGCTCACCCATGAACGTTGATCTCCCCTCCATCCCATCGAGATCCATTCTCAAGATTCCAAAGATTGCTTCATGAATGTCGCAGCGGACCACACAAGCGCACAACCTCTCACACTGACAGGATTCGAAGGGCGAGTGGCAGCGGACATCACAAAAAAGAAAAAAAACCGAACACATGGATCGAAAAGGAAAGAAAAACTGCACGCGAATCCAAACACAGAAGCGGTCTGGGCCATTGGAAGGGGGTCTGCAGGAGGGCGTGGAAGGACGACGAACGAAGATGGACGAGGGATGAACGATCGTGGTCGGGCAGAAGCGGGCAGCGCTCCCCCCGGGCAAGAGTAGGGATCCACGGGGATAGGTATATCCAAATAAATCACTGACCTTGAGGATGTGCTGAGCCTGTGGATCAACAGCTGGGTCAGTGTTCGGTACTGTACACCCATTGGCCACTCCGGGATCCCTTTGATAAGACCACGAGTTTGTGTTCCCCTTTACAGAGGCATGGAGCAAGCCTCTACATTGAGACACGAGAGATGAATGTGGATGAAAAGAGGTTAGAAGGGAGATGGGGGGAGGGAGGGGCAGTCA